GGGCAAAGTATTACAGGGCTTTTTAAAAAAACATTCTCAGTAGTATCACGGAGTTTGATATTAAGCCCGATATATGGCAATAGACTCACCCCCTATTACATGGGACTCATAACGTAAATAGTGAAAAGTGCGTGTTATATTGTACAGTGGCATTAAGTGCCGTACTGTACACCTCTGCCTACTCATTCGGGGATAAAAGACATGTTATGTTATGTTCTACAAAATCATTTCTAAAACGAAATAACTCAGTTTCTTTTCTAAAACAAAACCACATCCCACACCCTACAATGTAACTCTTCAATGATGAATGTCACATGAATAGTGCGAACTCGGACAATTTGATATCATGTCTAGATTTATTGCACCTCATGCGCAGCTCAGTGAGCGAGTGATGTGTTTATGAATGACTGTCCAGTCTTATGTGACTGCATTACAAAGCGAAGTAATTTAATGGCGTGTTGATATTTGCATCAAATTACATTTGAGCGATCATAATAAAGTAGGTAGTACATTGTAGGTACATGTAGACTCCGTGTGATTCATTGCAAGAAAGCTGTGACGGGCTTAGTGTGTTTGTTTCTTTTTACATGTTGATTCATGATTTCTGTCTAATTGTGTCAACTCAAGAGGAAGATTTCGTTTTGTACTAGCTGTTTGCAATGATATTACATGACATCTGTTATCGTCCGGTATGTAAATAGTAGTAAGTTAAGAGACATACTTTTCGTTGGTAAGTATATTAAGAAAAACAGTACAAAAACAACAGGGAATAATGTCCTTTTTTAAGGGGGGATTATCAGGGATAATCATAGAATGACTGCTCCCGTCTGGGTGAGGCGGGAGGGAGTGTCAGACTCTTACTGACTAAAAACCACCCCGTTACTTCTCCTGCACGTCAAGCCGGAGCCCCGGTAACCCGTTAGGTTCTCCGCGACAGGGAATAAAGGCTTGGCGATCATTTCACCCATAAAATAATCAAATTCAAATCTTTGACGCCGGTAAACGAGCAGATGGATCACCTGATAATAAGCAATCGGCGTCGCCCCATGGAGACCTGAAACACCACATCTAACGTGACTACACTAGACGTGCGTTACCGGCCATTTAGGATTAGAAATTTGAGGATTGTTGGGGATTCAGGGATTGGGGAAGGGAGGGAGGACGGGCTCCGGCAACCTCACTCATACAACGAAACACAACAAGGGGGGAAAATCATCGAATGACTGCCCCCGCCTGGGTGAGGCGGGAGGGAGTGTCAGACTCTTACTGACTAAAAATCACCCCGTTCCTTCTCCTGCACGTCGAGCCGGAGCCCCGGTTACCCGTTAGGTTCTCCGCGACTCCGAATCGGCATCGGCCCTATTGGGCCCCATCTGTGGTGGTCTGATGGCTCTTTGAGGCGCGCGCGGAACGCGACGCGCCGTACGCTCGGGTCTGTTTCTGGTCGGACGGGGAGCCACCCATACTCGCCGTCCGCAGGCCCGCGCTTACGGTGGCCGTAGATCGTCCCGCGATCCCCGACGCCCGGTGTGTCCTTCGCGATGGCTGGGTTGCGAGGAGGCAGCGCTTCGCTGCCTCACGCGTCCCGCCTCCTCCTTAGCTAGCATGACTGCTTCGCAAAAGGAGGAGACGGCATCCCAATCCCTCGCTCCGCATCATGGCCTGCACTAGGCCCGGACGCGAGAGGTCGCCATCGCCGATCACTTCCCTGAGGACACGGCGGTGCTCAGCCCACGCAGGGCATTCTCCCACCGTGTGTTCCACCGTGTCCTCAGACAACGCTAGCGTTGTTTCACGTCGGTTTTCTGTTAGGCCATGGTATCACTCCGGCCGAGCCGGCCCATTCGTGACGAAGCATGGCTCTCCCACATTTAAAAGTTGAAACTTTATACATAAACTAGAAACCAGATTCGTAAACAAACAAAATTGTAACCAAGAAATATCTAAGCATACCTTTGTCACATTTTAAAATGGATTCCCCCGTTCCTCTCGTAAGGTGAGGCCTCCGCTCAGCTGATTGGCGATCTCATTAAAATCAGGAAAGAAACCAGCGTTTACCTCATCGCTATGTTGCGTCCAAAGTGCTCTTTTCATCTTTTTTATATTTTTTCTTTTCCGTTTTTTTTCTATTTAAGGTGAAATGCTACTGAATTTTTTTCCGCATAGCTGTAATAATAATCATAGCTTAGTGCGCGATTGTGAACTATTTATTTTACGCCCATAAATAATGCTTTTATTTATATGCAATTAAATATAATTAGGTATGTTTAATGTAAATGTTCTAGTTGTTTTAACAGCAAAATATATAATTATGCACAGTTAATTGTTCATTGGAAATGTCTAAATTATAATAAAACGTAAATTTTCAACTCCAGTATTTATAGTACATATGTACAAAACACATTAATTTAACTGTCATTAATTGTACATACATGCGAGTATTTTGCGCTTCAACATAACTAAACCTAGAAAAAAGCAGAGAGCATTGACCTTAACAAATAAAATAAAAATACGGAACGAAACATTTATAAGTATTTCCATGACTGGATTGACAGGACTTCAAAGTGTCATTTCGAAGATCCCGTATTATGACTTTTTTGTTTGGCACTCCGATTTTAATAATGCGAATCAAAAAGATGAGTGGGTCAATCCCTAATATTATAATTTTGTTTGTTTACAAACGAAGGAATATCGTAAAATATTCAAAAAATGTGCCATCTTCAATCGTTGGCGTGAATTATTTATTTTAAATTGAAGGCACTAGAAATGTATTTAAATATCAAGATACGAATAAATATAGCATAATTGAGAACTTAGTTTACTTTGTTTCTGAAGACAGTGTGAAGTACTCGTTGCTCTGCTCGTTTGCCTTATATTCCAAAATAATAAAAAAGTATGAATCCAATGACATTTCAAAATTATATCAATTAAGTACGACTGTCTGTCGAAGAATTACATTTGTATTTATAAAACCTATGTTGTTTCCCATATAAACTTTTCTTTAATCAAAAAACAACCAAAATCTATTAGTATTTGAATACAATTTCCTATGATGACCCATTTACCTAACTAACACCCCAACTGACACCATAGAGCAGGAACTTTCTTTTTCCCTTTCCAAGTAATTTGCCCAATTAGGGGCACGCCTTCCCGCATCACCGGCCACGGAGATTGCCTGCCTTATGAATCTCCTAATACGTATTGTCCTTAGGATTGAGCATTCATTACTTAAGTACTTACTAATAGGCATGATGAGTAATATTTTTAATATGTCCGTCTGGAAACTTATTTTATAGTAACACTAGCGGACCCGACAGACGTCCGGCAAATAATATAATAATCTATATACCGACTGCAGCGCCATCTGCCGGGCTGATATGTGAATTTAAACCATCCAGGGCGCCACTCAAACGCATACAGAAAAATTTATTTAAATCGGTCAAACCGTTTAGGAGGAGTTCAATGGCATACACACGTACAGTGGAATTATATATATAAAGATGTTGTTTATATTTTTACGGCAACAAAAACTTTCGATTTGAATGTCGCGTGACGTCATTTCTAGGTACGTTTTATACTTAGGGATGACGTAATTTGCACACACTCCTAAACTTTCATTCGTTTTATCTAAATATTTATGTGTCTTGTTTTTTTAAGTCAACGGACGCATTAAATAGGTTTTAAATTTTCGAACCCTGTCGTCATTCTAATTGCCACTCGCGACTACATAATTTGAATCCGTCGGGAATGTCAGGAAAATATTTTTTTATTGATTCTGCACTTTGAAGTGATTATAAATTCAGCAATGTGATAATTAAAAGCCGTAGTCAATAATTACACTGCCACTATTAACACGTGTGTCTTGGTCACATGAAATGTGTATGTCACTTGTAAACACTAACTTTATAGTTTATATGTGAATTATTACGTTTTATTGCATTTATTACGAAATGCGATTAGTATATGGTTTATTCGTTAAGTCTTACATGAAATCTGATAGTACTTATTGCGTAGTAAATCACTACATAGTATAAAACAATGTCGCAATCCGCCGTCTGTCTGTCCCTATGTACGCTGAGATCTTTAAAACTACGCAACGGATTTTGATGCGGTTTTTTTAATAGATGGAAGGTTTATATGTATAATATATGCATATTGCACCTAAGCGAAGCCGAGGCGGGTCGCTAGTATACAATATACATCTATCCATCTTTTAATGTTTTAGTTCAAAAGGTAAAAACAGCTTTTTCTAGACTTTACGGAAGCATTTTAAAGAGAAATTATGCTGAAAATAGTCGTAAATAAAGAAAGAACTAGTTGGAAAGAAAAAGTCAAGAGCCGGCGATAGAATAATGAAGAGTGGCGGAAATGCTCGCGAGAGATTGCCACAGATTAGAAGGAATGAGATGAACGCAACGAAGATGAAAACTGCAACGAATGGAAACATGATTTGGATGGTTACATGGAAATAGTTTAGGAAATCTGTAAATTATAATTAAGTACTACATACGGAGTCTGGAATTGTGCCCGGTATATGGCAATAGGCTCACCCCCTATTACATGGGACTCATAACATAAATAGTGAAAAGTGGGTGTTACATTGTACAGTGGCATAACGTGCACCTCTGCCTACCCCTTTGGGGATAAAAGGTGTGATGTTATGCTACATAGATAAACGCATCCAGAAAAATTCACATGAATATTTGACAAGTCGTTAAACGCAAGAAGGGAAACGCGAAATGTCAGCTAACATAGGGTGCCATCACGCATTTGACAACGATTGAGATCAGTACCATGACTGTCTGTATTAAATAATGTATCAGCAATATTGGTGTCAGTAAAGTCATCGTTTGGTTCAATAATAGGGGTGGCAAGATGATATTTTGGCATTCAGATTCATCGTAAGTTAACTGTTTCATCCAGGTGACAAATACACGTGTAGTATATTTAACAAAACATAGTTAAAAACACCAATAATCAACATCAGTCGCATCTGTTTACCGTACAGGGGGCCAATTCTCGATTTTCGCCATTTATCTCGAGTTCGACATTGTAAGTCTATCTCTATGTCTATCAAAAATATCTCTATCTCTACCAAAAAATGTCGAATTGCACAGAAATCCGTATTCTCAGTCAAAATAGAAACAAATGTCACGAAAATGTCGAGTCGAGTAAAGATAATGTTACCATTATGCAGAATCGCACGTTCCATTTTAGGTAGTTATGAGTGAATGAATGATTTTGTCATAAAACGTTCACTAAACCTAATTATTTAAGTTAAAACGGAACGTTTAGTGCAAAAATAATCAGTTTGATAGTTGACTGTCTGTCAGTGTCATAATTTGCATTTTTTTTCGGTTGTTTCAAAACTTTTGTGTTTACAATATTTACATAACTCACTAGTGGGTTGTGCTGTTTTATATGTGATAATTTTGTATTTTAACATGGAGGGGAAAAAATACCCCAGTCCACAACAAAAACAATTACTCGTTCAACTCATTGAAGCAGACATGGAATTGAGGGGAGGTAAATTCTCCTACAGTTTCTCAAAGAAGAAGATGCCATCGTTAAACAGTTAAAATATGCTGTGGCCGGTGCCAAAAAATCTTGGGTTGGTTGGCGCGAAGTAAGTACAATGGTTACCGACTCACTTATCTTCCTTTCTAGATGACTCAACCGTTTTAATACTTATTTTTCATAACTTACAATCACCGCAATGTTTTCCAATTCTCTACTTGTCAGTAATTTATTTATTTTTGTATATGATTTCATTGTCCACGTATATAATATGTTGGTACTAACATAATAAATTTATTTCAGAGTCGGCAAGACAAAAGCAAAAATAAAACAAAAATTAGCTACAATTAGAAGACAATCTATGTTGACTGGTAGAGGTCCACCACCAGAACAATGAAATGAAAAGGAACAATTGGTGCTTGCCAAATTTTGTACAGCTGCACTTGTTGGCCACATAGATGCCCTTGGTAAAACTTATGTTTTTCTGAATTTTCTAGTTCCCATACTGCTATTATTATATAATTATATTGCAATTAGAGTGACTTTTTGTTTCTTTTTTTCAGATTTAGCCACACCGAGTACTGCAAAAGTCGGCATGTATATGGCTGCTCAAGAGACCTCTGGATCTCGAGGCAATTCTACTTTCAGTACTATTTGATGATTTTAATTGCATAGACGAGTTAATGATCAAGAAACTGTTTACAATCGATTTAATTGTAAAAATCCTGATCTTGGTTTACATTTAAAGTTATTTTTTAAAGAATATAATAATAATTATTATTATTATGAGAAAGATTAAGCTGTGATTTTATAATTAGTCTGCTAACACTCTACCTCTAAGTTATGTGATTATGTAGAGGTACATACATGCACCCAAATGATTGTTAAATATTTACATTTATGCCGTAATGATTGTTTTTTATTTAGATTATTATTGTTTAAACGACTGTACTGCTGTGATTTTATAATTAGTCTGTTAAAAGTCTGCATTATGTACTTACATATACACAAATGATTTAAAAATCATTGTTCATTATTTACATTATTCTGCCATCATTATTGTTATATAGATGTAAAGTTTATTTGTTAATTTTCTGAGATTAATATTGTTTAAATGACTGTACTGTGATTGTGTAATTAGTCTAACTTTATAATGAAAAAGTGTGTCACTGAGGTTATGAAATTTGACAGACTTTGATACTTTAACGAGTAGCTGTTTTAACATTCTTTTACAAAGTGTAATAACTACTAGTGTAATAATAACTATAAACTTATTGAATGTTTACCATATCTTTTTTTAAATTAGTAATGTATTTACTTATAAAATTAAGGTACCTAATAAATAAAACAATTTTATAAACATTTTGTGGTAATTATTAATTATATTTTGTTGTATATTTCTGCCTATATTGAAATAAATATTGCCTCCTGTTGTGGTTGGAAGGTCTATTATAATTATGCCTAACTCTCTCTCTTCAGGCATATCAGAGAATTCAAAGTTGTGGGCTATACACAAATTGTGTAATACACAGCAGTCGTTAATTATTTTAGTAGCCTTATTAGGTGTGTAATGTAACACCCTATCCTTTTTTTAAAGTATTAAAAGACACCTAAATCGGCCCTTTAGCACTCCATTACAACGCTCGATAGTGGATCGCGTTTTCTTAAACTGTCAAACACCAAGCGGACACCGGTGACCGCAACCTATTGTTCTTTAATTGTGTCTATAATAACGGTGCTCGACGAGTTAAGTGCTTCATTGTAGAGAATGCACAAATCGAAAAGTCTATACCGAATTTCCAGTAGGTATGAGATGCAAAGCCGTATTTTATTTCAAAACGAAAGAAAAAAGACACTACAATCCCAAAATCAAACGAATTCACTCAGAAATGGCGTATCTCTACAATCGACATGCCATCTCTACTGCTCAGAAGCACTCGACATGAACTCTAACGTTAGCCTTCGACAAATGTCGCATTCGACAACTCCAGAATAGCAACTTTTAAAATTTGACGAAAAAATGACGTCATTAGACATTTTTGTCGAGTTCGACATCATCTCTAAAGCCGAGAATTGGCCCCCAGAAGTCTTCGGAAGCAATTTTATGTAGGTTAGTGTAAAATTTATTCTCTTTGAATCAAGATAATACGGCTGAAACATCTGCTATATGGACCTAATGGGTTCCGAGCAACAAAAAGCTGAAGAGTCATTTTAAAAACCCGATAAATTCTTCATAGTTCTTAAAAATCGTAGTTCTGTCTACCTCGTTCCGGAGTGGTTCCGAGATTATTTGGAAAGCACGCAACAGCTGTTCTGGATTAATTTTATCTAGTGAATAAAAATGTTTAGTTATTTTTAGGTTCTAAAATTAGGTGTGCAAGCGACGACGAGACCGAATTTATGTGGTTGAATAGGTATTATAGAACTCTGATTGTATCGTAGTTGTTAGGAATACTCTAATGCAATGCAGTTTCTGTGTCTGTATGTGAAGACAGAAATAGATACAGTATCATTAGTAGCTGCAGCAGTTGCCTTTAAACAATTCTGATGTTCGATACAAGAGAAAGTTTAATAGAAAATGTTTAAATGCCGATACAATTTTGTTCGAATAAACGACGCCAATGTGTGAAGTAGGTTAATCCACTAAATGAGTGCGCAGTGACAGCCAAACGTACAAACAGTTACAATAATTATGTGAAATAAGTCACAAGTACGTTGCGAGCTTTTTAGAAGAAACATGCTCCTTTATTAAAGGTTTGAACTTTTTATTTATTATTTATTTATTTTTATTTTATTTATTTATTTATATCAGGCAACGAAGGGCCATATTATATTTATGGGGTAGCTCGGTAAACGGGTACACCTGGTGGAAAGCAATCGAAGTCGCCCATGGACACCCAGAACACCAGAGGAGGAACAAATGCGTTACCGGCTTTTTAGGGGTTTAGGAATTTGAGGATTGTTCGATTCCGGGATTGGGCAGATTGGAATTGGGCCTCCGGAAGCCTCATGTGACGTCGTGTGACGACGAAACACAACTCAAGCGTTGCTTCACGTCGGTTTATTGTGAGGGCGCGGTATCACACCGGTCGAGCCGGCCCATTTGTGCCAAAGCATGGCTCTCCCACGCTGTAATTCTCATACGAATTCCAATTCGTAATAGGAATGCACTTTAAACTGAATATCGCCATTTAATTTTAAAATGTTGACGTTTAGGTAATCTATCGTGTACCGTATTACAGATACAAATATGATTTAATTTAGCATAACTGACCCAGTTTACCCAGTTCATAATACTTCCCTCAATACCTGAATAGTTAACACGGCAAGATTGAGATGCCATGACATTGTCAATTATACAATTAACGCCATCAGTGCATGGTAATCAGGTAAGGGACCGAAGTATAAATAGACTTGATTTACGGGAACAATGACATGAATAACTAATTGGTTAATATGATTTATGTGTAACTGGAGATGGTGAGGTACATACTACCCATATGTTAATGACTAGCTTTACACCTGCGACGACACCCACAGAATTCAAAAGGTTCACAACTAGATCCCGATCCTGTAGAAGCATATTGAGATAAAAACTAACCTACATGTTATTACTTCTTACGCAGAAAGTTGACCAATAAGAATGTATTTAATTAGAATAGGTCTAGCAGTTTAGGAGTCCATCCAATACAAATAACCGAACAATAATCACGCAACATTTATTTGGAAAAAGTATTGACAGTTTAACACATTTCATATTGAATTTAGAAGTCATCTATAGCCTTTTTTAATAAAAGTACTTTGGATCTCCTTGCAAAGGCACATCGTCACGTGCTGTAACACAGTTATGATGGATTTTGGAAGATATTAGTCAAAGTACGCCATTTCGACGTATCTATATTGATAGATCACCTCTGATGGATGCTCCTAAATGGAACAGTATACGTTAAAGCAACGTATGTTACGTATGATGACTTTTGATAGGAGTGTAATGGTCATAGAGCAACACTATCTTTTTGATGTAATACCGTGTTGTTTAGTCTATATTGTTTTATATTCACTTATTGTGATCTTCTTGAACAATTTTTATTTTAAATGTACTCTACAAGGTATTAGTACAGACATTTGTAAGAAGTAAGCAGGCGAACACTAGACTCAAAAGAGACTAATATTCTCCTTTTTTCCTACTTACATGCTCACTGCTCTTAAGAAGAATATTACTAAAGATACACGAATATATCTTCTCTCACACTTAAACGATATAAAACGTAAAACATTTAAAACGTCAACATATGAACATCCAATACGAGATTTTTCCACTAAACTTCACTAAATCATTGACAAATAAATCGGCTGAGACATAAAATAGTTCACGAAACACATTAATTATGAGACCTGTCGTCAGTTCAGTTTCTCGTTATTATTTTCAAATATCTCTGTTTATCTGTCTGCTATTCTAAATACGAAAAATGTGTTTGTTACGCTTATACTTAGAAACTGCTGAATGGATTATGAAGAGATTTTAATGTAGGGATCGACGAGTGGCTGAAGAATACAATAATCACTTTTTTATTTAAATTATTCAATTATAGGGAATCAAATGTAAATGGAAGTCATTGGGGAAGGCCTATGTGCAGTGGACGTCTTACAGCTGATATGATGATGAAAGGGAAATTAATCAGGTGAATATATTTTTTATTATATTTCATGGGCCGACATTTGACTACTATCTCGCCTGGTAGTAAACAAAGATGCGGTCTACGAAGGCGCACGTCGTCCCATAAGCAACCTATTTACTCGGGCCTTGACACCCAGGTTCCCTTCAGGAAATACAGACATTGATTGCATAATTATTGATACAATCTTATAAATACATAAGTAAAAGAAGTCAAGAGTGTGACATAGTTAGCTAAAAATAATAGCACTCAAGTTTTTCATTCAAACAAGACATTAGTGAATTCTATTCAAAATAATATTTCACGTTTGTGAACATCTTACAGCTGATAAATTGTCTCAAAGCTTACCTCGCTTGTCTTAAGTAGAAATGTAATATTTTCATTTCGAATCTTAATTGGACTTTTATCCCAGCAATACGAATAAAGAAACTGACGGCATTTATCATAATTTTAAGAATAAAGACGTAGCAATCATTCTTATATGGTATGGGTATCTAAATATTTTTGTGAGGTTTATTTTTAGAATAAATAAACTTGAAATATGAAGTTTTTTTCTGAAGTCTTTCAATTACGATCTGAACATTTTCACAAAAAAAAAACATGGTTTTCAAGGGTCTGTACAAAATCTTGGCTGTAAATCACCAATATGCAGGATTTATAATAATTAATAGTCAATTTTTTTTTTCTCAGTAGTAGAACGGAGTCTGGAATTATTGTGCCCGGTATATGGCAATAGGCTCACCCCCTATTACATGGGACTCACAACATAAATATTGAAAAGTAGGTGTTACATTGTACAGTGACGTAAGTGTCGCAATGTGCTCTCTGCCTACCCCTTCAGGGATAAAAAGCATGGTGTTATGTTAATAGGCAATATAAAATAACTGTTATCAATTTCTACAAAGTTCCCAAAAATGGAAATCCCGAGAGGTTAAGTTTTGTGCATAGCTGTACGGCAGCTCAACTCTAAATAACAATAACATATGAATCACTTATACATATAGAGGTATACCTACAAGCTAAATGATGCAAAACGAAAAAACCCAAACGAAATGCATATACAGCTAGTCATCGGCCAAAAATATCAGAAGTACAATGTACTTAATGCGTCTCCATTACCAGTAAGAGCATTAAGAAAACAATTTTAATTCAACAATAGTTCCTATGACTGACGTCCACGTCAGCCATCAACTGTTCTCAACATCTTTTGATCGAATGCCAGAACCAACCGCCAGTTGTCAGTTTTAT